GATAAGACTGACGACTTGCAGAACACCCTGGAGGTCAAAAGATCATTCTCAAATACGCTGTAAGTCTCACCATTTACTGAACCTCACCCATCTACTAACACGTGCCAGGGCAAAGATGCTACCGAAGAATACGAACCAATTCATCCTCCCGACACCCTCGACAAGTATCTAGATGCCTCCAAGCATCTCGGACCTGTCGATATGGGTACCGTTCAGCAGGAGAAGAAGGAGGCAGACCCTGAGGAAGAGGAACGTCTGCAGCGCATTGAGCAGAAGCCTCTTCTGTCACAATGCTATAATCTCTTCGATTTTGAGGCTGTCGCTCGACGTGTCATGTCAAAGACTGCATGGGGGTACTACTCTAGCGCTGCCGACGATGAGATTGTAAGTTTTCCTTGAACCACTACTGAGGAAGTATCTAATGAGAATAGACAATGCGAGAGAACCACAGCGCATTCCATCGCATCTGGTTTCGTCCTCAAATTCTCGTCGACGTGGAAAACATCGACTTCTCAACCACCATGCTCGGCACAAAAACAGACATCCCCGTCTATGTAACAGCCACAGCCCTGGGTAAACTCGGTAACCCAGAGGGTGAAGTCGTCCTCACCCGCGCCGCAGCAAAGCACAACATCATTCAGATGATCCCCACTCTTGCATCATGCTCCTTCGACGAGATTGTCGACGCAAAGGCTGGCGATCAAATCCAGTGGCTGCAGCTCTACGTCAACAAGGACCGTGCTATCACTAAGAAGATCGTGCAGCACGCTGAGAAGCGTGGTTGTAAGGGTCTTTTCATCACCGTTGATGCGCCCCAGCTGGGACGTCGCGAGAAGGATATGAGATCTAAGTTTACCGACCCTGGTTCTCACGTCCAAGAGGGCACAGATACGGATAACAGCCAGGGTGCTGCGCGCGCTATCTCGACATTCATTGACCCCGCGCTGAGCTGGAAGGACATCGCGTGGTTCCAGAGCATTACATCCATGCCTATTATCCTCAAGGGTGTTCAGCGCGTCGAAGATGTCCTCAAGGCTATTGACTACGGCTGCCAGGGCGTTGTTCTCTCCAACCACGGAGGTCGCCAGCTTGAGTTTGCCCGATCCGCCATTGAAGTCCTCGCTGAGACAATGCCTGTTCTTCGCGAGCGTGGTCTCGAGAACAAGATTGAGATTTTCATCGATGGCGGAATCCGTCGTGGAACTGATATCCTCAAGGCTCTCTGCCTAGGTGCTCGTGGCGTTGGCATCGGACGACCTTTCCTGTACGCCATGAGTGCTTATGGTGAGGCTGGTGTCATACGAGCTATGCAGCTGCTGAAGGATGAGCTGGAAATGAACATGCGTCTCATTGGTGCTAGCACTATTGAGGATTTGCATCCTGGTATGCTTGATCTGCGAAGTCTGTTCCAGCATTCTGCTGTGCCATCGGATAACCTTTCATCTACTGTGTATGATCCTTTGTCTGTGCCTGCTCAGAGACCCAAGGCTGGACCTAAGCAGGACCCTCCCAAAGCGAAACTCTAGAAGAGCTGTGTTTGACAAGACTTGTCTTTTGGATATTTGTCGTGGCCTTAGATGTAGAGAGGTTTAGAGACACGAGTTCTTTATAGCGTCGATTTGTTTACAAAATTCAGTATAAATTTAACATCGCTATGCAACCAATGCTAATTCGATTCAATGCTATCCACATATCCATTACCCTCAACTATGCCGTGTTCTTATAATCCCCTCATAAATTCCTGCAAAGACATTGGTTTTCTCACAGCGTTATTCAGCCCTTCATGATACGTCACCCACACCTTGCGCTCCTTTTCCTCCTGCTTGGCTTGCTGCTGGGGAGTACTTCCCGTTATCTCAGCCAGTGATCGCGCCTCTATGATTCGACCAAAGAAATCACGCTTGATGAGTGTAGTGTCCTGCGATGCTGCTTCGAGAGCATGTTTCTTGGAAGCCATAATCTTGTCTGTGTTGAGGTGCTCAGCGTGTCCGAGTGGGTTGCCAGCTTTAAAGCGGGACTGTCGAGCGCGAGCTTCTCGTTCCACCAATGTTCGTTTCAGTTCTTGGTCGAGAACTTGACGAACAGCGTAGCGTGTTGGTGCTGCTGAGGGTAGTAGAAGTGATGCAGCCGTTTCGAATGTGGCTAGAGCATCAAGATCCCTGTAGTTATGTTAGCCGTGTTCATCTGTTCGAGGTATAGAATGACTTACGGTTCCATGCGATACACATATTGTGGTGTCCGATTGGTGAGCGAATCACTCTCAATTCTTCCCTTCTGCAGCTCGATACCAACTTCAGCGAGCACCTCAGCTGCACGCTTGACCATGGCACGTTCACTCTCCCTGCGTACGCTGGCCGTGGATCCTTGACTGCCACCCACCACGACGGGTTTGACGTCCGGAGACACAATACGCGCAAGATATGGGAGGAACTCGGCAGCAACATCTTCAGCGCTGCGGAAGGAACGCATCAGTGTGGGTGGGAGCTGACCCTGCAGAGCCTGTAGTTGAGTCCTATTCTGACGCTCTGCTTCGAATGCTTGGTAGTCAGCTCGAGAACCAGAAAATGGCAGTGGAGGCGCAGAGTCATCTTCCGCATCACCACCCCAACGGCGATCGTAGCCCATGCTGGGAAGATAGCGTTTGGGAGATGCGAAAAGATGATGACATGCTAGAACGGGCTGGCTAAGATATTGTGCCAATTCCCACTCTTGACTAGCATAAAGTCGTGATTGGCATGTATCGTGGAAGTGCAGCCATTCGTATGCCTGGTTAGGCTTGGTAAGGTACAGATCATCGTTGAATTCGCGATTTGGGTATTCGGTAAAAACTTCCGTCATGATATGGCTGATTTCGCCGCTTGTATCAATCATTTGTCGTAATCTTTCCATAGCATGCTTCTTTTGATACTCGCCGAAACCCAGCTCAGCCTGCGGTTGCTCATGCTGTGTTTTGGATTGAGACAAATCCATAGCTTGCTTGGGAAACCCGCCGCCTTCTTGGAAGAGGCGTGAAACGATATCCTTGACACTACCGCGACCCAGACCCCGAGCACCACCAGCGCCGCTAGTTAGATCTTGGAGGACATTGCGCTCCAGCCACTGCCGCGTGAGAGAGCCTTTCCATTTCAGATCTGATGCGCGATATCGCCCAGCTACCCATTCACCAACCACCATGACACCTCGAAGGTCACCCTCTACTGTGCTCTCAGCTCCCCGCCTGGCGTCAATGCCGCTCGTCATGCCCCAGGCCGCCTCACACAGCTTTCGTGCAGCGTCTTTCTCGCAAGGGATACCCTCCTTTTCAAAAACGTTCTTCAGCCTGGTAACCACTGACTCCATAGTGGGCTTGCCAACATGAATAATTTCTGCCAAATTGGAATTCCGGAGTGGTCGAAGCGCTGGCGCATATACATCGTTACAAATGAGAATCAGGGGTCGGAGCAGTCGAAAGTCGTCACCCTTCTTCTTCTTTCGCCCGTAATTTTCTGTGGTGGCACCCGACGCATTCTTCTGGTCCAGGAGAACAAGATCTATCAGTGCTTTGACAAAGCCGCCTTCACCTGAACCCCCTGAACCAGACACAACGCCATCCACTTCATCCACCACGACGCACGCTGGTTTAGCCAATTTTGGAGGGCCGTCTCCGTCCTTGCGGTTACTGACTGTCTTGACACTCTCTGTTCCCAAGCTTGTGCGGATGCGGTTTTTGACGACGTCGCGACTTCGGTCGTCACTGGCGTTAATTTCCATAACTTCATAACCTGCTTGTCTCGCACACACGTGTGCCAACGTTGTCTTTCCCAGTCCCGGAGGCCCTGTGAGCAACAAAATCTTTCTATGAGGCCTTTCTTCCTCTTCTTGTTGCTGAGCACCTGGTCGTCTGGCTATCACGGGCCTTGACTTTGCTGCTCCAGGGAACACCACCGGGTCCCACTTCTTTAACCAACCTAATACCCGCCTGTTGGTATTATCATTACCACACAGATCCATAAAGTTTCTTGCTCGGTATTTCTCCGTCCACAAGCGAGATCTCTTGGGCTTTTTGCTTGTCGATAGCTGGGGCTCGACTGATTGTACAGGCGAATTAGGCCTTTGCGGTTGCGCTTGTTTCTGACTTGCGATCTCTGCAGATGCAGCGTTTATGAGATTGTGAATATCAACACCATAGTAACTTCGTTTCGCTCGCCCTTCTTTCGTTTTTGATCGGGCTGCAACCATGGACTCGTATGTCGGTGCAGAGTTGGTCTTCCGCTCCTTGATCGTTACGGACTGGCCATTGCATGTTGTTGCCTTGAAAGACTGGGGCACAAGATTACTGAAAATTGGAGTTGTGAAGATTGGTCTTTGGCTCAGTCGTGTTGGTTCTTGAACTTGCACATCGGGAGTGCTTGAGGGTTCTTCCTCATCAACCAGATCAATAGTTGTTGTTTGGTCTTGTGCTATCGTATCTGAAGGCTTCTCTCGTGGATCCTCGGTCATCAAACGTTTTGCTACACGAGTAGAGTCGGAAGAATCGACGTTGCTGTCTGAATCGGAGTCATCGTCCTCGACAAGGAATGGACCTCGAGCTTTCGGTTTAGGAGGGCCATGATCGTGGGGTTTGGCGCGTTTCGCCGGTGGTGGAGAATGAGGGAAAGTGATTGGTGACGACGCTGAAAGCATTGTGAAAGGGATTCCAAGAGTATGAGAAATAGGATATCCTTAATATTGAAGGATTGTGAAAATGGTGGTGTTGCTGGTGGGACTCATGAATTCTTTAGGACGTCTCCGGGCTAGGGACGCGTCGTGTTTAATTGAGTCGCGTCCTGCGTGTAAGTCAATTGAGATCCACTTATTCTCATCTTCCCCAGCTGACATAAGCGAGTGACTTTGAATTGAACCACCACGGCCGGATCCACGAGATAATCCGGTGATCCAGCTGAATTGATGCCAAAAATTTGGCTCCTCAAGACAACCCACGACGAGCCAGTTCCCAGCATCGTGGGCCTCAATCTGCCAATATGCGTCGGCCTACGAAATATTACAGTCTGACGAGACCGGTATGCTCAGTTTCTGACCCCAATTGAGACGGGCTGGCTAGATTCCACCCCGCGGGAGGTGAATTTTGCCTTGCTAACGGACACACGATACAGAAACTCAGGCAATCATGGAACAAGTACAATCTGTTTAACATCGCCCGTGCAGCCGGCCGCGAGCCCCAAGTCAACAGTCGAGCAACATTCTTCCAGCAGAAATGGGCAGCCAAGTCGAAAACCCGAGGTTATCACGGCGAGCATGTGTCCGAGAAGAAGTGGGTGCGGCTCTTTTCAAGACGTCTTCAATCCGCTGTCGATCTCCCTCCCGAATACCTTGCCGCCAACGATGGTGCCGAGCAGGCCGCTGGTCGTGGTTCAGGCTTGACGACATCCAATGTGACCGCCGAGACCTACTCCAGAGTTCCCAAAGGCAGTACGACGGTCCGAAACCCTTCTCATCCTGCTCAGCGAGGCCGAGCTTTTGGAAACGTGAATGACATGCTCTCGGAGCATTTCCAGAACATGACACCTTATATGCAAATGACATTCGCGCCCCTGGAGCGAAGATTGGATACGGCTGTTTTCCGTGCTATGTTTGCTAGCAGTGTACGACAAGCTCGTCAATTTATTATTCACGGAGCTGTCAAGGTCAACGGCAAGAAGGTTTGTTTCAATAAAACACTCCCAGGACGCATGGCTCTAACATTTGACAGATGGTTCACCCATCGTACGCATTGAATCCTGGTGATATGTTCCAAGTTGAGGTTGAGAAAGTTTTGTATGGCACTGGAGAGCAAAAGACGGCTGAGTATACAACAATGGAAAGTCGCGAGAAGGAGATGCTCGACCAACAAGAAGATTCAGTCAGAAAGCATGGATTGAAGAAGCGATCCAAAGTCCTCGAGGCCGTTGCCAAAGAAGGAGAGGAAGCTGGGTCCGATGATACAAAGGCTCCTGGAAAACACGCGCGCAAGCGCGTTGAGCGAGAGGTGCAGTTGCACCGTGTCAGAAACCTCCGAACAACAGCCAGAGAGATTCTGAAGGGTGATATGAGAAACCTTTCTGCTAAGCAGAAGAAGGATTTACGACTATTCCGTGACACTGCCCAGCGTTTTCTCTCTCTCCCTGAGGCTCGCGAACTTGATGCACGAGACCTCCTCCATCAGATTCAGGCTCAGATCACGAAGCTTGAGTCTGTCGATACTTTCCGAAAGGCTGACTCGACACTGGCTAAAGCGTCAACTAAAGCAGCAAACGCTGAGAATTCAGCTGAAGCATCGGTCGAGGAGTCCGCTGAAACACAAGCTGAGAAATCAGATTCCAAATTAAGTAAGGAGGAGAGAGAGGCGAAGAAGTTGCAGTTCAAGAACAAGGTTCTCGAGAAGGGTCTGGAGGGCATCACAAATAAGGCAGATCGCGACCGGGCTATGAATATCCTGGCCACTGAGAACCTGACCAATGAGGAGACCCGCCGCCTCATCAACATTCTCAGAAACGACTCCGAGAACCCTATCGACCCCTCCAAACCCTATGTTACCCCCTGGCGTCCTCGCCCGTTCATGTCTGCCTTTGCCTTCATCCCTCGCTACCTTGAGGTCAACCCCAACATCTGTGCTGCAGTCTACCTGCGTCATCCTGTCGCAAGAAAGGGTATGGCTGAGGTTCCCACGCCTTTCAGCTACTTGACCAACCAGCTGGCCCATAACTGGTACTTGGGACGAGGTTAATGAAAAGCGATATGTGGTTTTTGGAACTGGGAAGAAATTTGGCTAGGCGGATGGGGTGCCTGTGTACTATACCACCTTCTAGAGTATACGGTAGATAACCGGATGTACCTTGTATGTATTACCACCGTTAAAAGCATGACAAGTCTGGGTAGCACACTATCTTTCAGCTGTTAGAAACAGTGTTAAGCGAGTAATTGAGTCCATATATGCTGATGCTTCTACGAAATTATGATTCGGATGCTTGTATAAGCTAGCTAAGCCATGTCAACATTGAGAGAATGTAGAAGAAATGGGTCGCAAGTGGGTTGTTGAGGTTTCGAACGATGGTATATAATCTCCGCGACGTAGTAGAACTCTCCGGGCGCCTCATCTGCTGTGCAACTCGAGTGCACAGGTGGGCAACTCGGCTGGCAAATGGCTTGAGGAGCACTCAACCGGTTATTAGATTCCCGGTCTTAAGCCACCGAGGATAGCGGCTGTAATGTTACTGTTGGTGGCTGAATATATACTGAAGTTTAAAGTTTAGAGGCTATCTTGGACATGCTCCAACAAAGGGATTGTCAGGGGCCTGATACGGCTGCTCTCCGTTCTTTCTAGTCAGCTGGTATCACACTGAGATATGATAAAGTGACTGAGAGAAGAAGTGCATATGTATTTGGGTATAGTCTAGACGAACAAGTCAAAGCGTAGGCCTCAAGCTGATAAGGTGCAGCTGAGCCGCCGATCCACTTGATTGGAGTAGACATGCAGTACAAGGCAGTACAAGGCCAACGCGTTTCTTCAAGGCGCGACAAGAAGCACGGATGGGGTTATTGGGTACCACGTCCGTGGATAAGGATGCAGCTCAAGTCCCGGTCCAAAAGAGAACCTAGACCTGTTGATTGCCGTCTGTAGCCAATCTGAGGACTCTCCTGAGAGCTTATCAGGACGGCCTGCCTAAGTCGCACAGCCGCTATCAGAGACCCTGGGGCCCCGGGCCGCTACTGTACAAAAGGGTGAGGAGCCACATCCTTGGCTGGCAGATCTCGAGTGGGGGATTATGTGGGAAAGATGTCGATTATCTCTGTTGAAAAATATCCCATCCCATGTGATAGACAGCTGGTGTTTTGACTCTTGGGGAATAAGCTATCTTGGCTGTCTTCATTCCCTCTAAAAGCCGAATATTCAGACTATACCAAAATAGTACCAGACCCAGGTCCAGACAATGTTCGATTTAGAGTGGCCGCTCTAGGAGAGACAACTTACATAACGCCTTTCTCTGAGTCGCCAGAACTCAAGGGGAGGCGGAACCCTCCACGCTGATGCTGGGTTCTTGCCTCCACTCAATTCCTTGACCAACGTCAGTTCACTGTTCCTTCTTCTGCTTTAACCTTACCACGCGTGCACTTACCTCAGGGTCCTTTTCTACATTAGTAAAGTACCAGAAGGAGCATCCATTCGGTGTCAGGTCAGGTCGAGTCGGGAATCGCCTGAACATTCACCTTAATCAGCCGCGTTCAGAGTCTAGGCCTCAGCTGCAAGAAATCTACCTCACACATTCCCATTCCTCTTCACTCTTCATCCACGGTCTTTTTTTACCACCTCAGGTTTCATCGCATCGCATTGCATCGCCTCACATCATCACCTCATCTCAGATCACCTCACTCTGGTCAGGCACCCTCGGGCTGTCTTCGGCGTTGACCCTGGGTTAACAAGTCCCGTGGAGTTGGTCAACTCGGCAGAAGCCCTCACCTTGTCCCTACCAGACATGGTTGATTACAAAACCCGCAAAGTCAGGATGGAATAGTTGTTAGGAGGACTATATGCCCAATCTCCAACTCCTGTTCAATTCTTTTCCAATCTGTCACATCTAAACTATCACACACACTCGTATCTATTAACCTACCGCAAAGACCTCATTTTCGCTTAGTTTGAGCCAAAGTGCTGATCCCCGTTCAACCTCTAACCACAATTTCGTCCCCCACAGTCTACGTTGTGGGCCTACGAACTAGCACATTCATTCAAAACATCGTGTCATATCATCTCACAAAGAGTGTTTATTATCTGGATCTCCTCATATCCCGACCTCTACCACTTGTTTGATTTACGTGCATTTTTATCACCAGATTTCGCTCGCTCAGTTACACCATGGAAGAGCCGGAACCTAAGACCGCGGTGCAGCCGGGTCCATCGACAACAGCCCCAGGGGCAACTCGCAAGAAGTCACGCAGAGGCGCCGACTCTGCCAGTCAGAAGAGGCGATGCGTGAGTACGGCGTGTATAGCGTGCCGTAAACGCAAGTCCAAGTGCGATGGTGCCCTTCCTAGTTGCGCTGCATGCTCCAGCGTATATGGAACTGAGTGTGTTTATGATCCTAACTCAGACCATCGCCGAAAGGGTGTTTATCGCGAAAAGGTCGACAGCATGAAGGCACGCAATTCGACCTTACAGATTCTGATCGAAGCCATATTGAATGCTGAAGAAGACGACGTGCTGGGCATTGTTCAGAAGATCCGTACCTGCAATAGCCTTGACGCTGTTGCCGAAGATATTATCAAGCTGCAACAGCAGCTGCCACAACAGCCACAACAACAGCCGGCAATTCCGTTGGCCAATGATGATTCTGATGATTATGATCAATCCAATGATAATTATACTACCGACCAACCCGAGCAGGGTGAAAGGGATTTGGCTCGCAAGATGGGTGAGCTCAGACTCGAGAACGGTAACGTTCGCTTTATTGGAGGCACCTCTCACCTTATCTATCTGAGTGATCCGACTCATGAAGGAGAAACGGAGCCAAATCTTGAAGATTACACAACTGGACAGGATCCTATTACCTCTTGGACTCGCGTCACTCAAGACACTCAGCTCATCACTCACCTAATTAACATGTATTTCAACTGGCACTACCCTTACTTTACCACGCTCTCAAAAACACTCTTCTTCCAAGACTTTTTGAGAGGCAAGGCCGGGATAGGCCGAGGTACTGCATACTGTTCATCGCTCTTGGTCAACGCTATGCTCGCTTTGGGTTGCCATTTTACAAGTGTAGCCGGCGCATATGGTACCCCTGGCGATAGCCGGACGAAAGGCGATCACTTTTTTGCTGAGGCAAAACGCTTGATTGTTGAGAACGACGAATACGAAAAGCCCCGATTAGTTACCGTTCAAGCATTGGCACTCATGTCGGTGAGAGAAGCCGGTTGTGCTCGCGAAGCCAAGGGGTGGGTGTATAGCGGAATGAGTTTCCGCATGGCTGAAGATATTGGTCTGAACCTAGATGTTGGCCAGCTCGACAAAGAACGAATGAGTGATTATGAGATTGATGCAAGGCGAATTACATTCTGGGGCTGCTATTTGTTCGACAAATGCTGGTCCAATTACCTCGGCAGGCTGCCTCAGATCCCCAAGAGTTCGTTCAACGTGTCCAAATTTGATGTATTCCCCGATGAAGACGCGGAATCATGGTCACCTTATACGGACAGTGGATTTGACCAGTCATTTAAACAACCAGCACGAACACGAGCTATTGCTCTGCAGATGTCAAAGCTTTCCGAGATCAGTAGTGACTTGCTCGCCTTCTTCTACCATCCAAGCCACATTGGCAGGTCCAGTGGAAAGACGGTAGAACTCAAGAAGTTAAGTGAGCTGCATCGCCGTCTGGAAGAGTGGCGAAAAGAACTTCCAAAGGAATTTGAGCCTAAAGATGGCCAGCTACCCAATGTGCTTCTCATGCAGTAAGTGACACAGAAACGGACAGCTAAGCTGCAAGTCACTGACCCTGAATAGCATGTTCTTTCATCTCCAGTACATACATCTCTTCCGACCTTTCTTAAAGTACTCACCTACTTCTTCGCCTCTTCCGCCACATGTCTCACCCCGCCGTATCTGTACAGCAAATGCTGGGGCAATCTCAAAACTGCTTCGATTGTACAAGAAGCTCTGGAACTTGCGCCAGATTTGTAACATTGCAGTGTATATGGTGCACAGTGCATGCACAATCCATTTATTAAACCTTCCCGAGAAAACTGCTCGCCGGGATATCACTCATGGGGTAAAACATCTCGAAGAAATTGCGGAGGACTGGCTCTGCGCCAGAAGAACCTTGAGCATCCTGAGCGTTCTTGCCCGGAAGTGGAATTGCGAACTCCCTGAGGATGCAGCATTCGTGCTTCATCGGGCCGACGAAAAATACGGAACGTACAGCACATCTGATGTCCCGTCACCTCATTCGCAGGCAGGAGCTTCGCCCCTTTCTGATGGTGGTCTGGGGATGAAGGCCATGGGTGAATACAGCCCCTTTCCCCCGTATAATCGAGCACAATTGGCTCGGCCGATGCAACAGCTTCAACAGCAACAGCAACAGCAACAGCCGCAGCACCAGCCTCAACGATCTGTAACAGACGCCATGCTGACAAGCGCCCCGCTGTCGAACACCATTCTTTCTCAGCAACAGGGTATGCCTTTGAACAGATCCAACGCAGGATTTGGACCCGAGCCTATGGGTGGATGGGGTTCTGTCCCTGTTACATCATCGATGCCATCCTATCAGCAGGCATTTGCACCCATCAACCGCAACAGCATGGCAAACGCCGGCACAAGTGTCCCGCCTGTCAGCAATCCTCCAACATCTAACCGGTCTATGAGGATGGATGGGCAAGAATGGTTCTTGAACGACAGCGCAAGGTGGCACCAGAGCTTTGAGGCCTGGCAAATGGCCAACAACGGACAGGACAATTCTGTGTTTATGTTTGGCGACGGCAACAATCAGGATACCCCTAACAGCAGCACAGAAGGTAACGGCAATATGCAAGCTGAAGCTAACGACCAGATAGCAGCGCTTGATGGGTTAGGAGCTTCATTATCCCGGGGTGGATGGCTCCCGGGCTTAGATTAAAGGGGTTGAAAGTTCCTGCTATGGTACTGTAAATATTGCTGCATTTGTATGTTAAATAGTTACGACTTGGATGAAGAATTTTCAGTTACTAGATGGGGATCGGAGTTGGTCGTCAAAAGTA